CCCGATGGCAAACACCGGGGGGGGCGGCTTGTTTTACAACGTCGTTGCCAAGCGACGAAAACCCAACCCCGATGGCAAACACCGGGGGGGGAGAGGGGCGAGGGCGAATTGTGCGCCAGACGTTTGTTCGCTGTCGCCGCAGTGTGGAGATCTCAGCGGTGTTAGGGGCGTAATTTTATCAATCCGCCCTCTTTCATTAGCCGCTCCCCATCGGTGATCGGTCATGTGGGAACCATGCTCCGTCCTCTCGAGGACGCGTGGTCAACGGTCTAACCGCCAAGGCCTGAGTGCGCCCCCTGCCGTCCCCCCCCCGCAGTCTACGAAGCGCGGTGAGACCATCACGCTTCCCGGAACGGATGTCACCCTTGACAGCGCGGACTACGTCGGCGCTTCCGTCAAGGGTCGCAAGGTGCGATCGCCTCGAGCGCGCTAAGCAGTGGGCGAAAAGCCCTCGCACTTTTCCCACCCCTTTTTTTTTTGTGCTGGTCCAGTCCATGTGTAGCCCTCTTAAGCTCTTGGAGAGTGCGTTGCGTGAGCGCGAACCCTCAACCACTATCTACTACGGTCGGTGGCCACGCTGCACCGATGCGCTGCTGTTCTACTGTTCTTGCGTGCTCGCCCATGATGGCTTTTTTCAAGAGCATGTGTACCAATTTCTCCTTTGAAAGGGCGCGCGCGTGATTTGCCATCGAGGGCAAAACTTTGTACCATGTAGTACTTACTGCTGTCAATCCCTCGGTCTTGTTTCGTTATGTTGCTGGCACGTGATACCTCCCCCCCTTGCTTCCTCCCTCCCTCCTTCTCTCCTGCCGTCCCTCCCTCCCTTCCTCCCTCCCTCCCTCCCTCCCCTCCTCCCTCCCTCTTCATTACGCGGGGCTCCCTTGGGGGGAGCAGGTGGTGATCCTTGGCGACACGTGCGATGCGGCGAGCATCGTACCTCTTGCCATGGGGGCCGACGTTGTGGTCCACGAGGCCACCAACACCATGCTACCCCCGCTTGACCAGGTGCGGATCCCCCCCCCCGTCGGTGTTTGTGCGGTATTTCCGCCGCCTCTGGCGCTGGCACGGTGTTGCTACAGAGAGGTAGAAGTTGATCGGGTGGGCGCGTTTTTTTTGTCACGAATCCGGTCAGCCGTGTGTTATCGGAGTAAAGCAACCGAGCCCCAAGAGCAGAGGTTCTTTTTCCTCTGCCCGTTGATGCTCGCACAAGATGATTTTCGTAGGGAAAATGCAGCATGCAAGAATAGCCCATCATGTAACGCGGGTAGGCCAGAAGTTGTTGTATCCATGTTGGCTACATCCATATCACTAGGGACATTATGACGGGTTGTACCAAACAAGAACCATGCGTTTTCTAGGTATCCGGCCGAGTACCTCTTGATTCCTGTGATTCAAGACATTCTCCCGGGCGGACTTCATTCGTATTCCTCTGTCGTTGTTTTCCAGCCCAACAGAACCAACAAATATTTTCTTGATTGTTGCGATGTTGAGTTTTCCAACATCCTTGCCAAGGCCGTTGCCTGCCGTGGATCCGGGGGCGGGCAACGCGTGTTCAGCGCCCTTTTTTTTCAGTTCGAAGCGCACGTTTGGCAAGGGCACCAGGCACTGCGAGGTTGTGTTTCCACGAGTCCACGATCCCCCTCCCCTCCACTCTACCCCGCGCTCTCCTTCTCGAGCATATCGCTTCGGACTCTTTTTTTGACAATTCCTCTTCCCTCCCGCACCACTCCCCGCTTTGAGGGCTTCGGACTCCACTATTGACGATTCCCGTTCCCTCCCCCGCTCCCCCCTCTATGCCCCTACTAGGGCAAGACCTATGCCGACGTCGAGGCCGAAGCCATCAAGCACGGCCACAGCACGCCTATGATGGCGGCCGCCTTCGCGCAGAGGGTCGGGGCCAAGACGCTCATCCTCAACCACTTCTCGGCGCGCTACAGGGGCGACCCGTCCGACGCGAGCGTGGCGGCGATGCTGAGGATCGAGCGCCAGGCGGCGAGGGCCGGGGGCTTGGAACGACACCAGGTGATTGCTGAGGTTGTTGTTGTTGTTGCTGTTGTCCGTTCGTTCATTCTTGCAAGCATACCTCGTCTTGCTCTTGATTATGCATACATCAGAAACACTTGTCAGGGCTGACTTGCGTGTGGTATGCATACGGTCGTGTTTTTTACTGCAGCGGGGGGTATGGTAGAGAGGGTCAGGGCTTTCTGTGCCCACGGGAGAAGGGCGTGGTGTTGCGCGTACCCTTAGGGGGAAAGGGGGTTGCACGCGTGGTTTTTGTGCGAGGTCTCTTGTGGCCCAAGATGTCTTCATTTCTTCCGAAGATCGTGTTTGTACCGTTACGCTTTTGTTGTCTACACCGTGCCGTATGGGCCTTGGGGTGGTGAGACGACCACACAAGCGGTTCGCTTCCAAAGTACACCACAAAGACCGCGGGCGGGTGTTTGAGAGACAGCAAAGCAGGTTTCCCCTCTCCCTGTTTGGACAGGCTTGGATTACTCTGGATTACTCTGGTACCCGACAGGTCGCCGTCGCGCCTGGCTTTGAGCTGCGGTCAGTGTTGTTTCGATGGGTTCATTTCCGAATCTGGCTCCCTCCTGTCGCCGTACTGTCACTTTTTGTAAGGCCCGGGTGACCAAAGTAACACACATCGTTACGCACCTAAATGATATTGCGATATTCCCTCAGATACCCCGCTCAGACCGCCCGATGCCACCGGTGAGAATCCAGTAGCATTCGCAAGCCTTTTCGTATATGTATAACCATGTTGAAAACAGCATGCAGTCGGGGAAGTTGGGTTGGGGTTAGGATTCAGACATAGGGTCCGCGTACCCCCCCTGTTGTATTTCCTTATAATGCCCCGCGAAGAAGGCGGTCCTGAGAAGCGGTTAGGGGGTGGTTCATGCTTCCTACTTCCTTGTCGAATAACACTCACACTCACGAGCACCCTTAATTTTCGGTGCATGCGCCACGCGCAATGCAACAGGTGGTCGCGTCGTGGGACCTTCTGGAGATGCCCGTGGTGGACGCGGACCAGTGGGAAGCGAACCGGGCGACCGCCAGAGAGGCCGACGCGGCCTTCGACGGCGAGCTGCTTCGACGAGCGCGGCAATGGCAACAACAGCAGCAGCTGCAGGAAGAGGTGGAGGGCGCGGGGGGAAGGTCACCGTCCGTCTCAGGCACGGCAACGACCTCCTCACCGGCGCTATCGTACGAGCACGAACACTCGCGAGACTTTCTGCCCGACGCTGCCGCTAGCGGAGGCGGGGCAGCATCGCCACGGGGGTTCGTGACGGCGACATCCGACCCTTCGAACGGGGATGGTGGTTGCGGTGGTAGGTCGTCCATGATGCCGGGGGGCCACGCGGGGGAGACTGCTATCAAAGGGGGCTCCGCGGCATCCGGGCCTGGGGATGATGGGTCCATATCGCGTGGCCACGGGGAGAGTGCGACGGTCGACGGTTCTGGCGCTGCTCCTGCGAAAACGGGCTTGGTTGGGATAATGTTTGATGCCGTGGCATGATAGGGCCGGTCGTGGGAACTGCTGTGCAAGTGGTTTTTTAGCACTTCTCTCTCGGCGGGGTGTTTACGAGTAAGTGCACTTGCGCCCGTGATTTTTTTTTTGTGTCGTTAGGTGACTGATCATACGGTTCAATTTTTTATTTTTTTTGTCACACCGTTAGAAGTAGCGGTAGTCGTGGGGGAGGTTTCGTGTGTTTGTCGTAAGATAAGGGGGTAGCGCATTGCTTTGTGGGTATCACATTTTGCGAGGTCCAAAAGTGCTCACACGGTGAGAATAACGAAAACAATCGCTCCGAGCGTGCTCGTTTCAGACATGGATGTGCTGGAGCGCGGTGCGATTGCGACTCCCACGTTGAAAAGAAGCACGGAAAGTGTTTCCGGCTGAAAATGAATCTCCTTCGTCACCTTGTTTCGATGCACTTCCTGCACAACCAAACTTGCAGCGACTGGCCAGCTCTCGGGAATGTCACAAGAACACCCACTCTCGCATGTGTTTTCAGCCTCATCTCGGATTGTCGAACGACTAAGCGTTTACACTGGTGACGTCCGCTGCTTTTCTCGTGACGAGAATCACGGCCAACCAGATCGGCATGGTTCCGCGTTGAAGACTTGATTTCAGTCGAACCCGCTTCAAGGACGCTCGCGTCAAGGAAAATCCCCGCTTCAAGGGAGCTTGCTTTGCTAAGCACCAGGGGGCCCGGCCGAATATACGATAATGGGGTACCCCGATTTTTCTGCCGCGTACCCCCTTTTTTGTTTCCTGCGGGCCTGCGGGCCGCTCTTTGCACGAACCACGCACCACAATGAGTGCAGAAGTAGCGACGCACAGACAGTAGAAGTAGCGAGCGGTCTGGTGCTGCAGCTGCAACAGGGTGTTGGTATGGATAGATTCCTCCCATCTACCGGCGGTCCAACTGATGCCGCCAAAAAAAAGTCGTGCGCAACCTCGTCCCTCACCGAGGGCGAAGTTAATATTATATCACTCGCTTGGAGACGTTCGATCCTACAGATAGCGCCCGCAGTTAAGAAACTTCAAAATCGGATCGAGCCTCAATCCCTTCTGTTGGGTCGAAGTACCAGCCCAACTCGTCCATTTTCGTAAATGGCATTTCTTCTTCCTATGGACTGTCGCCTCCTCCCGATTCTCTTATTCCATAGACTACAACAAGTACTTCGTATTTTCTTTTTTCTGTTTTGTGATGTCTGAGGACAATCAATCCACATCATAAATCCCTCACGAGAGGTGGTGGAGAGTGCCATCAAACCCGTACAACAGCGGAGAGCATACGTGATGTGTGGCCGTACTACAGTACAGCACTCACTGTGAACAGCAGGGGCGCGCGGGGGGGGGGGACTGTGCCCCTTGCAAAATAAAAATAAATAAATGCACCTGTGTTCAGGTTGAGAGGGGGTTGGGAGCACCGCAGATTTCTGATGCCACGGGGGTATCGCACCATCATGTTTCTTATTGGGGCGTTTCTTGCGTTGTTGCCGAGATTGAGCTATGTTTCTTTGCCCTTTTTTCTTAACAGAATCTTCCTTGACTGCGAGCGCTATCTGTGTTTGTCGCGAATGGAAGGGGTGGCGTGTACCTTGTGACGCAGTGCCTTATTTCGAAGACCGTTCATTCGTTTACTCATGGAACTCAACTGAGCCGTAGAGCCATGCCGTGGGGGAAGGTTCAGGGAACTCTTCGCGATAGTAATACGTGGAAGGAAAAGCCATCCCGGCAGCTTTTGGTCTCCGCCGGGACAGTGATATATATGTACTGGTGTTCCTCGGTGCGGCGCTGGAATACGCTCGTCTTTTTTTTGTTTCACAAGAATGAGATAATAAATATATCCGTCCATCCCAATGATATTCCGCAATGACCATCGATCGATCGACCTAGCCACACGCAGAAAGCGAACCTTGGACGCGTCTTCCTGCTGGTACATGTAGGTGCGAAGCACAACATTGGCACACACGCGTCTGGCGGGCCGTGGAGATCGTTGTCATAGCGCCTCAAACCAACCGTTGCTGTCACGTACTGCGCATACGTCATCCCTGACCCGACCATGTTGCGTTTAGAGGCGACCAGCATGAAAGGGGCAAAACCCACCTCGCGGAAACCCGAACAAAAAAAAACAAGAGGTCGAACATATTCTCTTCATGTGGGTTAGTCCTCTCGACGTTTTAATTCACAGGCTGAGGCGCAAGCAAACGTCGCTGCCAATACCCAGCCACGTGAGACCTCTCTCTTTTTCCCATTGTGTCATCAAGTGTCTTTCGCCCACCCGTGATTTCTATTTCTTCTCCGTCAACGACCAACAAAACAAAGCCGGGCAGCACACGTGGTTTACAGCAGTGCTCCACCGCCCGGCTTCGCTCATCTCAATCTAGGCTCTTATCGCACCTCCCCCACCGAATCAACTCGCTTTTTGGCCTTTTTTTTTGCTTGCGGTATCGGCGAAGCCTCTCTCGAAAGCTGGGTCTCCTCTCTCTATCGCTATCCCTCTTCGACAATCGGTGGCTTCACAAAACCGCACAGACAGATCGTCGTGGCGAAAGAGGCATGCCTACTCCCATTACTCCCATTACACCACCGAACAACAGTAGGTACTTCGAGAAAAACAAGCTTCAGGGTTCGGTGGTCTTAAGTCCAGATTGCGGAGAGGCAAACTTCACGATTGCTGGGCCCTTTTGCCACCCCCCGCCCCAGCTCCCCCTCCCCCCGCCATACTCTCTCTCGAAGGGCAACGCAGACCTACTCACAGTCGACGTGCTGGTGACGAGCCAGGGGTGTGGGAAACCGGCCTCGAGAACATCCGGCCGCACCTACTCTCCCTTTAAACCAAGCCAACGTTTCCCTCAAACGCCAACACAGCCTCTCGGTAAGGGCTGATCTCTGGTGAAGCCCGGCTCAAATAGACGTAGGGGAGAGGGTGGAACGGACGAATACCAACCTCGAGGTTCAATGCAGGACCGCAGCTTCCAGAACAAATACTGAAATCAAAACGACCAAAAGGCGCGAAAGAAATCCCGCGCGGGCAACAAGTACACAACTCTACCATCTGGGGGGAAAAAGGACCCAAAACATGCAAATACGTACGCAGGGACGAACAAAAAAATTGAAAAAAACACACACCCACACCTGTACAAAGCCGTGCACGGAGAAGAGAGAGAGTTTGGGTGAACACCACTTTCACGCTCACGTTCTCCTTCCCCAACTACACGCTGGAAAAAGAAAAAACAAAAACCTCCTCCCCCAACGATATCGCCGGCAGTTGCAACATCAATGTTGCCTACTTCTCTCTCAAACTCCGCGAGCCTTCCATGTGCCACACGACAGCCCGAAGGTATTCGGCTAAATCCTGCAACTGCGATAGCCATAAAATTACGAGAGAACAAATAAAGGGCAGTAAGTAGCGTTCTCCTCAAGGCCTAGAAAAAGAGACGTGCGTGCTGCACTTGACACTTTCTTTTTCGCAAGAGGTGAACTTAGTACGTGTGCCCCCATCTACCGGCAAAAAGCAAGCTGCAGAGCCGGTACATTTAGCGTCAAATGAGGGGCACATCGACGTTGTCGCGCCACAAACGAACGCACAAAATACAAACGAGAGGGCGGCGGCGGCGGGGGCGGCGGGGGGTCCACTGTGCTCGCAATCAACTGCTGACTTACATGCCCATATCACCGAACGGCTTCACTGAAAACAACCGTCAACTCTTGCGTATGCCTTGATGTGACGACAAAAATCATTTCCGTCGTCGCTCCTTAACGGTCAACAAGCTGCTCCCATTTACTGACGCTGGTCTCCCCTCCCTCAACGCTACCAGTTGTTCCCAGCCATGTCGCCCCCCCCCCGGGG